AATCTTCTTCTTGGGTTAAAAACCAAGGGGGATAACTTTGTAAACAAATATACATTACATATATATTATTATTGTCCTGAATCACTGGTATAAAATGTTGAACTTGTTACTGCTTTAATCAATGCACCAACATTTTATGTTATAATTCTCCAGGTTCTTAGGAGTTCTGCTGTAAATATATCAGTATAACCTCTACTTCAGTAGAAGTAATTTGTTCAGTTAATATTTACATTCTGAAATTCTTTGTAAGGGTCTAAGGAAGGATCGGTAGCACATTGAAACAATTAAATCTTTGCCTTTGTGTCTAATGTTTCTTCTTGTAATGCCCTTTATTTTGTCCTAGGGAAGATTATTTAGAAATTTGATATTCTTACATTATATGTTTAATCTTCTGTTATTGTTTTCTTTTTTAAAATTTAGCTAAACTGAGTTAAATGCATACAAATGAAAATATAAGTATTTTCTGAATTGTCTGTATGTGATCAATATTCATGTAAATCCTTTATGCTTTTCCTTTTTTGCAAATAATAAAATTTAAAAAACTAATTTAGAGAAGAGCAGTTTAGCAATACAGAAGAAAGAAAGGTATAATCTTTTTCAGTTGAGTATTATAAATATCATACGTTAATCTTATAATGAAAACCTTCAACTGTAAAAGAATTCAATTTTTGTTTAAAATTGTATTAATAATCAAGAAGTCAAGGTAATGAGGGCAATATGGTTTGGACAATCATGAAATACACAAGTAATATCTAAATTAAGATTATGAATATTAACCAGGACTGTTTTTTTTTTCTCTTCAAAATACTGAATTGTCACAATAACCATTTGTGGAGCCATTATTCCTCAGTTTGGCGCTTTTGAAAACATCTAGTCAATTAATTAAATCCCAATTACACCAGCAAAATAAGGACTAGTTGCCCATTTCTCTAATGAAGGAGATGTTATATGGAGATGATGTTGGAGAAACTAAATAAAGATGTTTGTTACAAAAGCAAAAGTATGCTTGAAGCCAAGGAAACAAAGTGTGAGAAAGAAGCTCAGACTAACCGTACCCTAATTCACTAGAGTGTAGTCCTTTCAAGATTCTGCTACTGTGATCTATTTCAATAAAGTGTAGTTCCAGTCAGATTTCTAGAATCTGTTTCCTGACCAGGCATACCTCAAAGGGCTGACAGATATGTCTATAGGTTAACAGGTGTGGAGGAAGTTGCATCTTACTATGAAATAAGTTAACTCTAATAAGCTTGAAAGTTTCATTTCCTATACTATAACATGAGTTACCCCCCCCCCATGGATTTTAAGATGTCATTTAGAATAAAGGGCTTCAACAAGTAGATCTTGATGTAAAATTAAAGGCTTGAGAGTTTCTGCTGATAATGATTTCTAGATGTGCCATCATTATAAAGCCAAGGAGGTTAATTTGTTTCTTAAAATGACACCAGATGGATGCATACTGAAATTTCTTCCTAATGGCTTAAGTTGCAAAGATATAATAACAAATGTATTGTTTTCTTTCTCCCATACTTGCATACATATACCCATGCATGCTCATTCCTTATTCCCAACTTTTTGCAAGAGCAGAAAAGGAAGAAGAAATAGCTAGGTAAAGAAATAAAAAGGTAGATTAAAAAAAAAAAAGGAAATACAATAAATCTACTTTATACCAACATTGTGCACTACAATATTCCTCTCAATACCTTTCTATAATTGCAAATCATCCTGGCCTCCACTGTGTCTATAACACCACTTCAGACAATATCTTTTATTATTTAAAATTCTCACCTCTTTCTTTTTGAGGAGCTCATCATCTCCCTTCAATTGAAACTTTCTCAGTCTTCTCCTTTCTTTCAACCCATTCATTGCATTCATTGATACAGTAATATCTGGCCTAACCCATTTTCATGACAGCCCAGAGGAGGACAGTTGTCACATTTATTGCAATTACTCTCACTATCAGATGCTCAATTGTATAGCTACTTTGGAAACTCAATGCATATACATACATGATTATGGAAATTTCTTGATATTTGTAGCTGGATTTATTGTTCTCTAGTATGCTTTTTTTCATCATTGATTGCAAATTAAATTTTTAAAAAGACTTGCAAACAACCCACATACTACTCATCATGCTTCAATCAACATTTGCATGCACTGATTTTTTTTCACCCATTTCCCCATCTTCTGTGTTTCTCCACAGTATAATTCTTTTCACTCTGTTTCAAACAGCTTCCGCAATTCTCCTCACATTCTCCTCCTTTCATTCTACTACAAGATTAATCTGTATTTTAACCAAATATTATATAAATTTCCTGAATAAAAGTAATTAAACATGGGTAAAAGATTTAATTATTAAATATTATTAATTATTTTAATTAAAGTATTTAATTATTATTTAATTAACCCACTGAGGAAGATGGGCAGCATACAAATTTAATAAATAAATAAATGTAAAAAAAATAGAAATATGTACTTTATGTTGGAAAACACATCACTTATGTTCTGGAAATTGCTTGATTAGAAGCAAAAGGAATACAATGGTAGCAGACTAACTTGAACCTATTACACAATTTTATTGATATTCTTGTATATATAGCTAGATTTTTTTCTGATGAAATATATTTTAAAGTTTGGCATACCTTTACTACTCTTTGAAGGCATATCTTTACCACTCTTTGTGAGATGGGCGGCTATATAGATTTGATAAACAAAAAAAATAAGGCTTTTGGTCTTCCAGTGCTGTCCTTTAAAAATTACAGTAACAATAACTGGAAAATAATTTTGCAGAATGGATAGTAAAAGTCTAGCTGTCATCACAGGAATGAGTTCTCTCCATTAATATATTCCATTTCTCCTCCTCCAAAAGATTATTTTATATAGCTGAATTTCAAAAATCAGAATTCAAAGACATCCTTTTGCTTAACGTCTTCCGTTTTTCTAATACCAGCATAAATGATACATTCTCAAGAATTTGATCCACTGCTTTCTAGAACTATTTCTCACATTTAAGAGACAAAATAACAATAAATGTATAATAGTTTGTCATCCATATGTTACCCAGAACAGGATAGAAAAAGAGTAATATTGTGAGAGTTTTACCAAAAAAAAAAAAGAAAAAAAGGGTTAATTATAATGCTTTTTTTCAATTGTGAATTTAAATATATTTGTGGATGATATATTTGTTACTTTCCTATTTTACATTTTTGATTACCTATAATGGATAATAATAGAAGGAAAGAATTTAAATATATTTGTGGATGATATATTTGTTACTTTCCTATTTTAAATTTTTGATTACCTATAATGCATAATAATAGAAGGAAAATATAAGCTTCATTATTTTCGTTTTAGAAAGTTGTTGTCTTCAAAGTATACATCCCTGATTGGCAACAAAATGGATAGATAGATAGAGAGTAGTAAAACTTCACTGATTGGTCAGCTGACCTTATCAAAGCAATGGGCATCAGCCGCAATAAATGCAGTAAAATAGAATAAGGTAAGATACAGTAAAATAAGATAAGATAGACTCAGGTAAGGTAAAATAAAATAAAATATGGTAAGGTAAGATAAAGTAAAGATAAAATAGTATAAGATCAGGTAAGGTAAAATAAAATAAAATATGGTAAGGTAAGATAAAGTAAAGATAAAATAGTATAAGATCAGGTAAGGTAAAATAAAATAAAATATGGTAAGGTAAGATAAAGTAAAGATAAAATAGTATAAGATAAAATAGAATGCATAGACATAAAATAAAATTAATATTATAATACAAAACAGTATGTGTTTACTGTATGTGAATTAATCACCTTTACATGCAATTCCAATGTATTGAATAAAATGTGTTCTCAGTTGGACAGCTGTTTTGCCAGTTGTCAAGGCAGCAATCAGGTGCCCAGGCAATTGGTTCTTTTAGTTCTTTTAGATGCAGAGACAATGAACACACCAGCAGGTGAGGAGTTTTTTAGCCTTATTGTTAACTCTAGCAAACAGATTTAAACAGCATAGTATAAAAACATAACATACCAAGCAAGATGATAAAATCTTCCCCTACTGTCAGGAGCTACCATAAGGTGACAGCGGAGAGACCCCAAGATAGTTTAGATAAACAGTGCCTAATCCCAAGGCCTGTGTCCACGCTCTAAATTCCAGGGACAACGCCAGGGCTTTTTATTAAAGTCTGGCACTGCAGTCCCATGACTCTGTTTTGGAGTCCAGGGGCTCTACAAGTGACCTTGACCAGAAGTTATACCTGCTCATCAAAAAATTCCAGAGACTGAGAACTGTATACTGTAGATAAGCTAGTGCTTAACCTAAACAGTCCTGAAGGTTTTCCTCTCCCCCTCCACTTCTAAGTAAAAGTGAAAAACAAGCCAGCTAAACATTATTATGATTCAAAGTGAGCTTTCTTAACATGTGCAGCAGAGATCAAACTATGTCACCTAAACTCCTCGAAATAACAGTGGTCTTCCGCATTGTCACTACAACAGCCCTAACTATAAACTTAACAGTTCTAATGACTACATATGTGGATGAAATAAAATAATATTTTGTTACAGTCTCAATATTTGGTTCTGTCAAGTACTGTCTGTAAGTACTAAACCCTTGCTGGGGCATATAACTGGCAGTTGAATAGAATATGCACAATGACTTCTATTACTGAAGCTCTACAAACACATTCTCTCAGAATATGGCACTTATTAGAATCATCCGTATTTGACCATAGAATCTAGCTGCTGAAATCTTGCTCTGGTAAGGGCTGCCCTATAGTATTGAGTCAAACCCATTATCAGCTATTTTTCTGTTTGAAAAGACATTTTATTCTTGGCCAGTCATTTCAACAACCTGGTGTTTACAAGTGACACAACAAAATAGGAGAACAGAAACCACAAGATATTCATGCTTTATTCTTCAGTGTTTGCAGAAAAGCATTCTTATACAACTTAATGGTTTCTCGAAGTAAGAAAACAGATTTATATTTATACATCATTTTTGTCTTTCAGTTGACTTCAAACCTCATGCCAGTATGGACACTGTCCATCATATGCTACTATTTGGATGTAACAATCCTGCTTCAGATGACGATTACTGGTAAGGATATAAGATTGCATCCATGGCATTGGTTAAATATTCTACCTGTATTAACTAAAGGCTGGGATAGTGAGACACAGTGAAGAAGCAGGGAATGAGATCAGTGTAAATTTAACTCTATAGCAATCATCGTTTACAACTAGAATTTCTTGGATGTGTACAACACTCATGTCCTTATTGCCAGCCTCCCTTTTCATCAGTGAAAAAGGAAGAGAGGAAACTTGCACATAAGGCAGACCAAGTGGTGAGCAAAATAATGGATGGAGGGATTAGTAGAGAGACTGTGAAGGATAAGAGACAATTTCAATTTCTTATAAGAAATCTGGTACTCATTAATCAGCGTGGCATGGCCAAACATTGGTCACAGGTAGACAAAACTTCTCAGTTTCATTTTTCCTTATGCCATTTCTATAACTATATTACCTTTTAAAGTTGAAAAGCTTGTCTTAGAAAGATTCCAAATTATATTAATAAAGTGATTATGCAAAAATAAGTATGTTAGAAGAACTAGATATGCAATTTTCTTTTTCAGAAGAATAGGAAGTATTTTTGTTCCATGTTTTTATGATTTTCCAAGCACAAAAATGTTAATGAATACATATACAGCATCCTAATACATGCTTAATTTAAGTCTTCATTTCCCTATAGTTACGCATATTCCAAGGCAAAAATGGGCTGAGGGTTTAAAGTGTATTTAATTCTTTTTTTCTAATGCAAAACTATCAGTTTTACTTATTAGAATTGTATTCTATATCTTCCACTTCCATTAATCAAGTAATAAAAAAAACATGTTTTTTACTATTGTAATTCTGGTAACGAGTAACATGTAAATCACTATTACTATAATTCTTATTTATTTATTTAATCCAGTTTTGAAACTGCTCCTTAATGACTCTGGACCTCAAATTATCTGGCTTTTATTCATTAAAAGAGTGAGAAGATTTTAAGTTCCCATGTTATTGTTTACTCTTAGATGGAAAGTGAATAATGTTAATTTAGAAAGTTTTATTTGGTAAGAAGCAGTTCTTAAGACATAATATGTTCAAATTATTTTCCATTCTTATATTATTAATGTTTATGTCAACTTAGAGAGCCAGTTTGGTGTTGTGGTTAAGGGACCAGGCAAGAAATTGGGAGATGGTGAGTCCTAGTCCCAGTGAAGCCAGCTGGACAAGTTGGGCCAGTCCCTCTCTCTCTCAGCCCTAGAAAGCAGGCCATGGCCAGCCACTTCTGAAAAACCTGCCAAGAAAACTGCAGGGACTTGTCCAGGAAGTTGCCAGGACTCAACACTGACTCGAAGGCACTCCCCCTCCCCTATGTACAAGTTAATATTACAAAGTTAGTTAATAAAGGCAATAGTAAAACAGTGGTAACAGTTTTATAATCAAATGTCCTCAGACAGTGGTCCTCATTCATTTACTAAATAAAGGTATGAATTGTTCTGTATGAATTTACCTTTTAAAAACAGGTAAAATGTGCAACTCTATTGTTATCTGACTGCTAGAATTAAATACATTTGCATGATTGGCATCAATAGTAAATAAATGAACTAATGTATTGATTTATTAGAACATTTGTGTACTGCCCACTCACATAAAGGCACTTTACAGAAACAGAATTACAAGAGCAGAAATACAATAAACATAAATTTTACAACATTAAAAATGCATTTCAAAACTATTAAGACAGTTGAAGCAATCAAGAGACATGGGAAACTAATAGGTTGCTTCATTTCCAATAGCTTTTTGTTCCACAACATGGATTTGCCAAAGAGAAAGCAGAGTTAAGTGTATGTGTCAAATAAATCCACAGTAAAACTGCAAAACAGGTTTCATTGGTGTTCTAACAGTGTTGGGTGGAGAGTTTATGTAGAATAGGCAATTCTGTAAGGAGTTTGGTCTAAACTGGGTGAGCATTTTATACATATGAGAGTTTTGAGTTGGTCTCAGAAGGTCACCAGGAACCAGTAAAGTTTTTTCTACATAGGACTTATGCAAAACTTAGGAAGCACCAATCCTCACGCATTTTGCTATGCTCTGAGCCATCTGCAGTTTCTGAGCCATCTTCAAGGGCTGCTTCACAAAGAGGGCATTACAATCCAATCTTAAAGTTAACAGTGCATAAATCACCAAGCTAGGTCTCTGTTCTTCAGATAGTGACACAGCTGGTCAAAGATTAAAGGCTGTCCTTGCCACTGATGTTACATGATTGAAAGCATCATGCTGAATTCAGGAGAAACCCGACTGCAAACCTGATCAGTAAGGGGAAGTGCAGCTCTGTTCAGAACAATCATTTATCCTGAATTCCAGCCCATCTTATCCTTTCAGACCCTTTCAGTCTAGACACTCTAGAAGCCTGAATGACACCCAACCCCTAAGTCACAGAAAAAGAAAAATATAACTATCATCAGCATGTTGATGACTACTATCTCCAAACCTGTTAATGATTCTTTCGAATGGCTTTAAATGGATGTTAAATGACATGGCAGGCAAGACAAAACCTTATAGGACCCCATTTTCTGGTTACACCTGGAGAGATAGGAACAAAACCATCTCAAAGCATCACCACCAAACTCCTAATAGAAAAACAATACTAGAAGGTAGAATTGCTCATGTCTAAACATGTTTACTTTTAAGGCAGACTTAATGAGTTGTAAATACAATGTTTTTGAAAGTGTTCATTCTTTAGTATTTCAGGTTGATTACTCTAAATCAATTGATAAATCATTTCGGTGCTTACTGTTTTTTTGAGATAATGAAGGGAAAAAAGAATTTCCAATTTAATAAATCTCAGCTACCATACTTCCTGAGCAGGAATTCCAGCTGCATTTTTTAAAAATGTTACATCACTGTGATACGTTGAAGCCAAAAAATAAACAAAGAAAACAACCATTGCACGGTATTGTCAGTCACTCATTTAAGATTCACCCTATGAATTAATCAACTAAAATTGATTGCTTTTATGTTTAAATAGATAAAAGGCTGCAACTCCAGTTTTAAAATCCCAGAGAATAACAAACAGGTGCAAATATCTGCACCTTCTTTGTCATCAATAAGATACTGCTATTAATAAATAAGAACTTTGAAATGCCTTTTAAATTTTGATTGGGCCATTAATATTTGAAAAGGGCAGTTTATAAAACAAGTAACCAGAAATGCTAACATAGCTCTAAAGGGTTCTGAAACTGGAAAGGTGTTCTATTTATACACCACTGAAAAACCCTCCTATTTAATTGAAGTTGATACTCAAATTGTTACTTTTAATAACTTCTTACATATTTCTATTATTTTACAATTGGTAAACTCAGCTTAGACCAAATGTATTATTGAGGATTGCTTTGTATTATTTTCAATTTTGTCACTTTATTTTATTAACAACATATATCACATAATGTTTAGGATAAACATATACTTTGGGATTTCTCAAAAGTTAGACTGAACTTGATAGCCAACCATAATTTTTAGTTGCCATCATACCTTCTTTACTATGGTTCTCTTGTTCATATACCATTCTTATCACATTGAGTTCCTTTATATTATTTGTGGTCTGCCTTTGCATCTCAGTGGGCTGAATGAAATGCTTCATGGGCTGTGCAAGTGGTTGCTGTCAGTGAAACAGAAGACTTTAAGAGATAAAGTCTGTTTTGTACATTATTGGAGTGCTGAGATTTATACTTCATTGTGGTTGAATCCATGAAATATTTGAAATCAAGTTGGACATAATGAACAGGAGGTGTGGTAACTGGAATGAGTAATGGTTGTAATTATAATATATCTCTTATAGTACTCTATAGCATTGGCCTGTGCAAAGTGACTAAGATTAGCTTTGACAATGTGATTCAGGTCGTTGAAGGCAACCTGCTTTGTTTCACTGAAGTGAAGAGGCTATTCCAGTTGTTTCAGTGAAGTGTTTTGGATGTCTTGAATGACTTTGGGCCAGCACGATCAGGAAAGTCTCCTCTCAGCTGTCTCCCCCATCTACCTCAGTTGTTGCCTATCAGCCTCCCTCCATCTCCAGCCGGCCATAGCATCAGGCCATCATATGCAGGAGGGATGGGGGTAGGGTAGCATTTCTGCCAATGCATTCAGGGCATTTGAACTTATATGTTTTTAAAATATTAATATGAATAGAATGGCTTGTACTTGAGAAATTGTCTCTGATGCTTTCAATACTGCCAACCATGATATCCTTCTGGCTTATCTGTGGGATTAGCAGTGGAGGCATGGTTTTGTGGTGATCTTCCTTTCTCTGTGATCAGATCCAGTTGATGTTGATGGGGGCGGGGGTAGGAAATCAAGTCCCAGACCCCTAATGTGTGGGGTTCCTTAGAGCTCAATATTCTTGCCCCTTCTGTTTAACATCTACATGAGATTGCTAGGTAAAGTCAACTTTGGTTTGGGGTCTGGTATCAATATGTTGATACCCAACTCCAAATCTCAGACTAACCAGATGATGCTGTCAGAGCCTTGTCCAATGTCTGGAGGCTGTGGGGACCTGCATGGAAAGGAACAGTCTTAAGCTAAACACTGACAAGACTGAGTACCTGTGGGTTTTTGAACCCTCTAGGGTCAGGGATGTTCCATCTTTAGTCTTGAATGGAGTTGCTGCACAATCTGAGAGTTGTTTCAGGAGTACTGTGCAATTTTCTCGAGGAGCAGGTGGCAGCTATACATAAAAGGATCTTCACCAAATCCATCTTGTGGGAGAGCTGTGCTGCCGCCTGGCGCAAAGGGCTCTTCAGACAGCCACTCATGCTTTGGTCACTTCAGGTATGGAGTATTGCAGCATACATGGGATTGCCCTTGAAAACCATTCGGAAGCTGTAGCTGGTCCAGGATACAGTGCCATGGGCCATTATGGACATGTAACACTCTGCTTTGTGAGCTACACACAGGTTACTACTATGGTTCTGGGTGCAATTCAAGCTGCTGGTTCTTACCTTACCTTCTTGGCATAGGGCCTGGTTATCTGAAGGACCATCTGTCTTCAATAGTTTCTCCCTATTTTCATTGATCAGACAGTCACATACTCCATGTTCTATCCATTAACCAGTGTCATATGATGAGACTTAGGAGACATGTCTTCTCTGACACAGTACCTGCCCTCTTTCCCCCTGAGATTTGTCTGGGTCCCATCCAGATTATACAGGTGGTCTTTGCTTAACACTGTAATTTGGACCAGCAAATAAAGTGTGACATCACATAACCACACCAATTTATGATGGCAGTTGCAACAGTCCCAGTTGCTATTGTTAGGCGAACCCCACACAGTTACATCATTCTGCTAACATATGATTGCCATTTGCGACCTCCTGCTGGCTTCCCCGTTAACCTTGCTTGCAGGAAACCAGCAGGGAATGTTGGAAATCATGATCATGTGACCGCATGCTGCAACATTGTAATTGTGAGGCGGTTGCCAAGCTGCCAAATGGCGATCACACGACCATGGGGGCACTGCGATGGCCGCAACTATGAGGACCCGTCGTAAGTCCCCCTCATTCAGTGCCATTGTAACTTCAAACAGTTGCTGAATGAGTGGTCATTCAATGAGGACTACCTGTATAAAAGAGCCCTTAAAACCTGGCTCTTTTGCTGGACCTTGGGTTAGACTGGGTGGTGGATTGTACTATTTATAGGATGAATAGTTTTTCTTTTCTGGATGCCTTTTTATGTATTTTTAGTTATGATTTTATTAGTGTACACTGCCCAGAGCTATTATAAATATAATAAATAAATCAGTATATTTGCTGATTCATCAATAAATACATTGATCAGAATTACTAATACTTTTCATTGGGTGTTTTGTATTCTGCTGTTAATGCAGTACAGAAACAGCAAATACATGCCATGTTTCAGATAATCCCTTTAACTTTTTAACTAGACTATTAAAGTATAGTAAATTGAAATCTTATCTAGTTGATCCTTCCATGTCTGTGCAAAATTTTATGGTTCAAAATTAGAAATGTTGTTGATAGTCACCCAGTCATGATTTATTACTCAAAACTGTATTCCATCTTCAAAAGATGCTGAAGGTGATAATAAAAAATTGAGAACGAACAAAACTGATCAGATTAAAAAATAACCTTAATACAAACAGGTCAAAGATTTGTCAGAATAAAAAGAGCATGCACAAAAATATTGTGAGAGAGAATCAGGTGGATCTTGCAAAATGGATTCTGTTACAAATGTGGCCATTTATTTTATATTTTATGCTTCTTTTTATTAATGATATAGATTTTTTAATAACCCAGCCATTTTGTGAGATCCACCTGATTCTCCCTCACAATATTTTTACAATTTAAAACATGTATATGCTACTGTAGATAATTATATCCAATTCTGAAATACAATGATTTAAATAAAAATTCATCGCATCTCACCAGATAAATATATTTTTGTACAATCTGCTTTCCAGGTGCTAACTGTGGATGGGCAGTTCCTAAAGTCTTGTTGTCATTTTTTCTGGTTCTTAGCCTGGACTTGGACCAAGTAGTATTTCAAAGAAGAACATAAGAACAGCTTTGTTGGTTAAGACCAAGGCCAACTTAGTTAAACGTTTTGTTTACCATAGTCAGCTAGACCAGAAATGGAGACATATCCTTCCCCCACAGTTGTTACTTTACACCTAATATGTAGAGGCATGTTGCACCAACCTAGAGGTATTACTGTATCTTCAAAACTGATAGTCCTGAAGATACCCAATTTAATAAAAACATAAGGACCTCCATAAAATTGGAGATATGTCTACTTTATTCTGCTGCATATTTCACAATTTTGGAAAAAGCTAGAACATAACCCAGAACCCCCTCTACTTATGTCAATGGACAGACATGATTATATGGGAAGGATTATGATAGTCCTTTACAAAATCATCTGGTCTTTGAAATGTTGATCCAGCAATTTGGATTATAATTGGCAATGTATCAGAAGCTAATACAGGTGCAATAGCAATTGATTAATTAATAAAACAAATTTTAAATGGCTTTTAAAACACAAGGCAGATGTTTCATCCAAGCTTTTAAATTATATTCGTGATCTTCAAGTTTATTTATTGTAATTTATGATTATGCTTACTGTTGATTCTACAGTTAACTATCCTACATTCTACTCCATCAGCTTCTTTGGCACAGCCTCCTTGATTTATTGTAATAAAATGCTTAAATTGCTAGAATAGATATCTTGTATGATTTCCTTGATTAAACACTAACAACAGCATTCTTTTTATATATCTTTCTAAAGTATTTAAATATGAATATATGGAAGTAACTATTGACACTGCTCAAAACGTTAGGCTTGTTCCACTTAAGTAAGAATGTAATTTCAGAGTAAAAAGCAAACATATTTGCTGTAGTGTCAGTCCAAGGGGAAAGCTAAGCCATTTCTTATGAAAAGAAATGATGTTCACTCTAATTAAATTTGTGATGCTAAAGACTAATTTCTCCAGGGGTCAAAAATAGGAGTTCAGTCAGACACATAATTAATTGATTATGTGCCATCAAGTCAGGGTCACCTCTTAGTAACTACATAGATAAACTTACTCCACGATGATCTGTCTCTAACGTGACACTTCAGATCTTCCAACAGTGCATCCAATGCCACTATATAAGTCTGTGCATTTTTCTGCTAGTTCTACTCTTCTTCTGCCTTCCACCTTTCATAGCATTATGGACTTTTAAAGGAAGCAAGGTCTTTGCATAAGATATCCAGAATACAGTATTTGTGCCTGGTCATTTGTGCCTTAAATGAGAACTCTGGATTGATTTGTTTATGAACCTTTGGTTTGAATTCTTGGCTATTCATGGTATTCTCGGAAGATTTCTCCAACACCAAAGTTCAAAGCATCAATATAATTTCTATCCTAAATATAAACATATCAAGACATCTGAATACGTTTTCAAAGCTCTCATTGCAATCCTACCTAGTGCTAATCTATGGTGCATTTTTTGACTACTGGTTCTTTTACTCTTGACACTGTAGTCAGTCCTAAAAGCAGAAGCTCTCCACCACTTCAGTATGAGTTCTAACACTTTACCTGTTGTCACTGGTTTGGTCTTCTTTATCTTTAATATTAATCCCACTTTTTCACAGTACTCCCTGACTTTCATTAGTAGACTTCCCAGATCATTTGTATTTTCAGCTCTCAGAGTAATATTATCAGCATTGTGCAGATTATTGACCAGGTGGGTCACCTAAACTATGACACAACTCATGACAGATACATGAGTCATTCCTTTTCTTTATTTTACTGAATCCCTTTCTGATACCAATATTATAATACCTTAGTGTGTTAATAGATGTAAACAAGAGACATGTATAACTGTAATTGAGGCATATGATTGATTGATTGATTGATTGATTGCTGTAGGCCAGTATGGTATAGTAGCTAAAGGATCTGATTGGAAATATTCTACTTCTTACCCATTTCCTGGGACAATCTTATATCAGGTTCTCTCTTTTACTTTAACCTACTTCAGAAGCTGGTTCAAAGGATAGGGTATATAGATTGAATTAAACTTCATGGTGTAATGGAAGCATACAAATATAATAAATAAACTATTCCATTTCAGGACATGCTGCTGCTGATGGGGGCTCAAAATAGATGAATGATCAAATTTAAAATACTTTGAAAAACATTTTAAAAAATTTCTAGGTTGTAAAGCATGTCATGATTCAGAAGCATTATTTTAATGAAGAAGCCTAATTATAGAAGTAGGATTTCTGATGAGATGTGAAATGAGAGAGCTGATGAGGTTGGGGGACACAAGTTAAAAGTGATTTCTACGAATGTATGTGTTCCCCCCCCAGGGATTGTGATGGTGAAACATGCATGGACACAAGTGATATCTTATATGCTTGGGCAAGAAATGCACCACCAACAAGACTGCCAAAAGGTATGGGAACTTTTATGTTATAGCATTCCGCACAAGATGTAACAATAGGAAAAGCAATTTATATTACTTAGTGCAAGAATTTCTCTAATAGTAGTGAATATTTTTACTTAAAGAATTAGGCTTTCAGAGAACCAAATTGCTCATCTTAGTAAATTACTATAAAAGGGGGCATTTGGGGATTTTTTCCATCTTTTTTACTTTTAATGTAGAACTGAACAAATTATGTAGTAAACCTTTCTGCTGATTTTTTTCTTTTAACTGCAGTTGCCAATAACTTTTATGGCTAATAAATGATTAATTGTTATTAAATTCCATTTGCCTGGTAGCAGGATATGTCAAAAAGATTTTTAAAATCTTTTATTACAACAGTAACTTTCATGTTCCATATTACCACATTATAAAACAAATATCAGTCAATCAATCAAATATAAACTAGGAGATCTTATCTATTTCTGTTTGATTTTCGTTTTTGTTATAGTTGGGACAAATGCAGTACTATCATGCAGAACTATCTGTTGAAATGTTTATTTTCCTTGAAGCAAATACTTTAGGGGTGGCTTCTCAAGAGAATATAGGTGCAAAATGTTGCATTGTATTTTAAGTCTTTAAAATAATATGCTCCTTACCTTAGGATTCTATTCTTTGAGAATATGCTTGAATATTATGTGAATTTCATAATTTTCTTCCCCCTCAAGGTGTTGGATTTAAAGTTGGAGGAGAAATGGGTAGCAAATACTTCGTTCTCCAAGTCCATTATGGGGATGTTAGTGCATTCAAAGGTATGTACAATTTTTAAATATATATTTTACTATGCAGTTATGAATAAGATAAAATAAGGAACTAATTTGTTACTGAAGTTCCATCAGTAATGATGACATAAATGTGCCATACTATGGGATGGTCAGAACTTCCTGTATTAGATTTAGAATAAATCTGTCAGTAGGCTAATATATTAAATTTCCAAAATTATTTTGGTTTCACAGTGGAACTTTTCTAAACTCGTGATTGTTCCAGTCTCTGTTCTGTATAATTATCTCATTGAATAATTAAGAATGAAACAGGACTGAGTTTTGAATGCTAGTTAACATTGCCTCTTCTCTCTAACACCCATGAGCACATAATCCTTGAGGACTTCCATTGAAGCTCTTGAGATCTTCCTGCTATCCTCCTCCATATTAAGATTTGGGCAGGAGAGATGATAGCAAGAAAATCTTCTTGGAACTGAGGTAGGACAGAATGGATCCATATCATGTCAGAGCCAGTAAATTTAAGTATTGTTTATACTTAAGGAAAGGGTTAAATTATAAATACCCATTATAGTAACTTTTTTCTTTTTTCATTCTGTTAATTAGTGTTCTGAAATCATGATGGTAAGCTGATTAAATTGAATTAAATCAAATTGATATTAAATTAAGAAAACATAATTTTTATTGACTATATCCCTGTTAGTTCCTTTGAATCTATTTCATTTTTTGCAAATGTTATAGACTATCTTGGTAGTTAGTTCATGTAAACCCCACAGTTGTGTTGTAACAGCATGCCATTGCAACACATTCCAGTAATAATTGTATCTTGTGTCTGATTATTTAATTTTTTGCAAGTGAAAAAAAGTATAATTTTTTATAAATCTGATTTTAAAATGCTAAAGACTTCTGTTTGATAAGAGCAGCAAGTCAGCAACTCATAGTTGCTGTTGCTACCCAGTGGTAGCTCATTTGAAATTAATTTAAACTGCACTTTGATAATGTTTTATAGATTACTTATCTCTCACCCCACACCTACTCCCCATTCTGTTCAAGGCTTTGAACAGAGTTTATAGTACAGTTTTTGTTGTTCTTTGCAGCATGTTCTCTGATCCATGTAGTTATACCCAGTTAACATATACAGTATGTGATTTTCTTCTTCCAACATTTTTTTCTCTTCATGTTGATGTTTATATCTTACTGTTTTTAAACTGCTCCAAATTTGTATATAGTAAAAAGTACATTCCAGTGAAGAGCTTATCAAGGGACTGGAGAAATTAGGCTCCTCACTGGGACACTGTTACAGCATGATATAAGAATTTCCCTTATCCAGCACCAGTTTCAAAAGTCAGAATAAACGTGTTTAGATTCTCTTCCTTTTTAAAATTGTGGCATAGTTACAATGATCGCAAGAATATTTTTCAAAGGCACAGCTACATTAATCTGGATAACAGAATAAAGAAATCAAAGACTAATAATTTCTTTAAAATATTAGCTTGCCCTTACTACAGTCTACCACGTCAAGTGCCTCAAGTATCCTCCCTTTGCATATGTATAAACATCTGGATATGAAGACAAATAAATTAAAATATAAAAGTCATGAATTTATATTTAACTGAATTTGTTTCTCCTGGACTTTCACAAAAAGGCTGCTATAAAGAACCATTTGCAAAAATTGTTGAAGATATTTCTGCCATCTTTCCTAAGGTGGTGCCTCGTTTGGCTGCAGCTGCATTGGCTCTCAATAGTTTAGCGGTTGAGTAACAAAGTTGTGCAGTTAGATTGATATATGACTGGCAACACATACTGGAACTGCAGATGTACAATGGGCGTCCTGCTGTTTTGGGGAGATTACGTTGCCTTGGTTTGCTGCGTCGGCAAGGTCTGGAGACTTACGGGACTGCGGGGTCTCTCACCAGTATTGGCTGCTTTTCGAGGAGATGGGGGAGATGGAAGAGGAGGCAGAGGAGGTGGTGTGATAGAAAGCGAAGGCGTGGGAGCTGGGGAGGACTAACGGCAAGGCTGAAGGTTAACCCACATAGAGCACCACTTCCATCCATTTTGTTTACTAACGTTTGTTCTCTGGAGAACAAAATAGATTATCTGAAGTTGGATTTTACAACAAGGCATGAGGTGAGAGACTGTTGTGTTATAGTGCTG